AAGGTTACGAGGATACGAGTAGTAAAGGTAATTTTGACATTTGCAATTGAGAATTTGAGAAATTTAAACAATACAATAATGTTTTTATAATTTCACGCGGGTGAAGCCGCACGGGAACAGTTAGTATTTACATACGTATTCTTTGAGAGTTTAAGTACTGTTATGAATAATTGAATAGGTTAGTGTTAAGATATTAGCAACTGACACATGTGTCCATACAATCCTAATAGATTAGTTAAATTGGTGGAAATTTCTCAATCAATCATCCGATAACTTATCACATGTCAAAGAGTAACCTTATACGACCTTACTGAACAAATTATTTAATGTAATTTGAATTGGAATTTTACATTATTATAACTAAATTGAAAGAAAATGATAAGTATCATTAGAAGTTACTGGCAACATTTTAACAGAGTATCCTTACATTAAAAAATGAAAAAAAAACCACCTAACGGTAGTTTTTAATTATGATTATGATAAAATAAACGTTACAACATTCCAGGACTCACAAAATGATACTTGCTCTATCTACAACAATAAACGTGGAGATCACTAGGCGTTGGAAAACTTAAATAATTTAATTAAGATTTGATTGTTATTGTACTATTTTATTACATTTGTATGTAAACAACACCTCCATTAATATTATGCGTTGCGGTCGAGCACGACATTTGCGGCAGTTTCTAATCTGACTTCGCGACTCCTTAATTGTTTCTCTTGATAACCCCAACTGAACTAATTCTCTACACTTATTGCGTTATCTAAACAAACAACTATTCGCCTAACGTCGCGAATGACTAAGCTTTGAATCGATTTATAGTGCAGTAATACTTTTCTATTAAAAATTAAAGCTGCTATCAATGTTGAATTAGTGCAAAATTTCTTAATGAATCTGCCCTACATTGTTCAATTATTCAAACGGAGCAAATAAACTAAGGAACTTTGGGTTCTGCATACTCTGCATTCCTGACTCATCTTCCGAGTATGGATACGGGTTAATTAATGTTAGATGAAACTGAAGTATTCTCTCTAATAATAAATAATCTCAATTGTCAAATCTATTATATGTATACTAATATTATAAGGAGGAAAGATTTGTATTTTTGTATGTATTGAAATAACTCAAAAACTACTGGGGCGAATTCAATAATTTTTTCACCATTAGAAAGCTAAGTTATCATTGAACTATATTAATTAAGTTCTACTTTTTTAATATTCTATAATTTCACGCGAGCGATGTCGTGAGCAACAGCTAGTAATTTATAAAACGGGAGATTTTACATTTCTTCCTACTTCTATGTATTTAAGATATTTCAAGGATATCTACAAAAATTATCCAATGAGACAAATTCTAAATGTTAATTTATCAGTAATTGATAAAAGGAATCCAGCTATAAGAGTATAAGCCCTTCATTATTAAACTAATGCTCGAATAAGCGTGTCGCGGAGCTATTCCGCGTGTTATCCGCACCATTATGCAAACACAAAAGCTCTTGACATTGCGTGATAAGCGCTAATGATAAGCGAAAGTTGCTTTAAGCTGTAAGCTTTTTATCAATATGCCAAATAATTGCTTGTGTATGACATTGACAAAGTGGTAGATTTGCCCTTAGCTATTCATTTAACGCCACTTTGACACAAATTACAACGTTAAGTGCAATATTCGTATGTTTTATGTATCAAATGCTCTCATACAAGTCACTTTAGGGCGTGCACTCCTTTGATTAAACTATCGCACAGCTTTTTAGTCTCGCTTTGTTTTCTATGAGATTGTATAGAAGTGCGCACAATCCTCTATTTTTAGTTGTGCAACTAAACTATTGGGTTAGCTGCAAAGCAAACGACAATTGACAATCGCACAATAGTTGTGCCAATGTATCAAGTATCAGAAAAGGTTCGTTTGCGAATATAAAATCCTAAAATTTTAATGCAACTAGCATTAAATGAAATATACAAATTGCAAGATAAATTTAAATTTAAAAACCAAATTAAATCTTTATTAATGGATTAATTTATGCATTTAGGGTACAGGGTGAAAGTGAAATTGAACAAGTGTACTTTCGCTTTAATTCTAAGGAACTAACAATTCTTCTTAGTCTGTATAAAATATAATATATCCAGGTAAAAGAAAAGACTCATATCGACTGTAACTCTAATACAGATTATGCACAAAAGCTTTGTCTATGGCGATGTGCGCGGGATATTTGGTTTTAGCAGGAAGGGGAGTCGTCCTTAAACTCTCTGCAAACGACTTATCGTAGTCTCTGGTTCGTCAAAGAGAATAAAACATGAGACGATGTGTATTACAACTGCAATGAAGTCATCACCTGTGACAGCGCCCTCTGTGATAACTTACTACAGCCATATTGATTCGCGTGCGCGTAATTCATGGGCCGTGCTAATTGTCCAATTATAGCTGTCGTATAAGTATTATGTCGCTCCAGCCAGTTGAAGTGCCAGTTATGTTACCGACAGATGACCAATTATATGTATATTATAATAATACATTGAATAAACATAGCTTGTATTGATGAATAACTGTGAATTTCTGTAACTCGAACGTTTGCTTTACTGTTTAAGACCTTAAGATTTAGTGAAAAATTTGTAAAACGTCTATACTAGACTCAGCAGCAGGTATCTTTGTACATGTGTATTTTATGTGCGTAAGTTACTACTCATAATCACTTAACGCCCAGTGACCCTATTGGTCGGCAAACGAGCTTTCTCCCGCTAAAGAACTTAATAACAAAATTCATAAATTATCTACCAACACTACGTAAGTTGAAAAAATTTAGAATAGTCGTTGGTAACCTAATAGTTTGTGATCCTATGGTTGAGATATTCTAGTGTTTATACGTAAGTTAAGTCTAGTACTTATAATTATTCAACTTATTACATAAGAAGCTTCGAGAAGGTAGAAATTAATTGATATTATGTTAGCTTAATTGAACCTTGTCGTGCTTATTTATTCACGTAAACTATTATTATGTAAATCTTATAGGTTTCTTCCCAGAACATATTATGAGCAAGTAAACAAAGGATTGTTAAATAATATTCATTCCAATATATTCATATTGAATCAATCAAACTCTCGTCAGACATAATTAAAAATTAAATAAAACCTGCAATACTCTACAATCGAAGGTTTTAAATAGCTATAACATGCACTTCTTCTCAACATGTCAAATATCATTTTCACTAATGCCGCAATTATATAAATAAGGTAAAAAGTTGTCGCTTCGCGTATTAATATTCATTATTCATCTATAACCTACAATTATTACTTTTAAGTGATACATTTTTCGTGAAAATGATAATAGGCTTTACTTCTGTACTAATGGTCATAGAAACTTGTATTTAACTAAACAATCAACAATTTATCATATTGAACAATAGCAGAAACTCACAGTGCTATTTTATGAGCTAAGTCTTGCAACAAACAGGCAGTCGTGAAGTAAGACATCAGTTTCACTGCTTACTTGCGAAACTGTTGTGTACCATCTCATCTTAAAATTATTATAACACAGAAATATCCTTAAGGATACAATAATATTAACATATGATATAAATTAAATGATACGTTATTGGATCTGAATGTTGGGCCACCAAAGTTGCGGATGAAAGAAGATTTCATGTGGCTGAAATGCGTATGTTAAGATGGATGTATGGTGTGACAAGAATGGATAAAGTTAAGAATGAGTACATTAGAGGAAGTTTGAAAGTAGCGCCAGTGGTGGAGAAATTGAAAAGCAAAAGGTTAGCGTGGTATGAACATGTTATGCGACGAGACGATGGGGACATAAACCAGAAAGTGTTAAGAATGAATGTGGATGGCTACAAAAGAAGAGGAAGACCGAAGAAAGTATGGATGGATTGTGTGAAAGAGGATGTGCTTAAGAAAGGTGTGGATTCAGATATGACGGCTGATGGAGATGTATGATGCCGACCCTCCATAAGGGAAAAGGGCAATTTGATGATGATAAATTCTCATTACCATAGAGATATGAAATCATTTAAGCCGCTAATTCAATTTAATCAACAATTAACTTCAGTTATCTTCGTTACACAGTACAAGTATACAGATAAAAACAAGTACTTCTTCATGGATTACAGTTTCTTTTAATTAGAGAATGCAAACAAATGATCGTAAAGCAAGAGTAATTATTAATTTATTTCTTGTTCGAGATTATGGTCTATAAAATATGTGAACAATTTTATTAAAGGGAAATATCACCATAACATCGACGTAAAAGAAATGAGTACAGATTTCTATGGTAACGTTTTATTTTTACGAGATAGTCGTAAAATAAAAGATATGATTAGACGATGTTATTTTCTTTAACCACAAAATTATTTGGTAAGTGATGGGATTATTTTGCGATGCATATATTTAATAGTTAGCTAGAACAACTATAATTTAATTAATAATACGTATTTTTATACTTAATATACCACAATATATCTAAAAATAAAAATAAAAAACCTCATATATTCAGAGGTTATTTTTATGCAGTTTCTTAAAAGAAAAGTCGCCGGCATGCGAATCGATTAACGTCCCCTTTTAGTCGAAAGCTAAACGAAACGCAAAAGAACTGATTCCGTTCCTTCCCCACCGGATGCTGTGAGATATCTGATTATATGCATATTAGTCCGAGATGCGTGTTGTCAATTTTTGTTTTGCGATGGGTCGCGGAAGCATCGCGTGTGTCGCGCGGCGGGCGCGGCGTACGCACCGCTCGAGCCCGCTGCGACTTCGACTCGGAGCGGAGTTCATTCGACTAGTGACAGTCGTGTGAGGTGGTCGTACCCCGCGCTCGCGTACGACTCAAACTTTACTCGCACGCTCCGACGTAACGTGAATGAAGTGGTGATATTATCGTATCGAGTTTTTTTGGTTCTATAATACTTTCATTTTATTTATCTCGCTGACAGTTCAGCGACTGTTGTGTTGTTCGATTTGTTCTGTGACTCTGCAAGTTGGAGGTGTACGGTTTATTTTCAATACGGCCGTCTGTTTACGGTGAGTGCGTGTTGAATTTCAATGTATGTTTATGTAGAAGTGTCGTCCAGCTGATTTATGCAGACGAGAGGAGATCGCGCCATGAACTGCATCGCCGACCGAAGGTCGTGCGCTGCAACACAATCGGCTTCTATGTCACTTGACTTGTGCGTTCTCAGATATCCGTCTCCATACCCACAATTCATTTTCGATTTATCCTAAAATAATACAACCGGCATCAAGTTGCTTTTTAAAAAACGCCATTTGAAGGTAAACGTTAGTTTTTTTTCATAATAACTCACGCTGGTAACAAAACCAATTAAATGCGATTAAGGAAATAATTTTACAATTATATCGCATTGTTCTCAAGCAAATGAAGCACGTTTAATGAGCTTTAAACAGAATTCCAAGTGTTTCATATTCATTAATAACCATTTAAGTATCTGCTATATTGTCAGAGCTACACGAACTAAAGACGTGTTTGGCTTCCTATTGGCGTGCGTTGATGTCTTTTCTAGGCTTTTTCAGCTTTAGGCCTCCCGGATGAGGATTATAAAACAACAAAGTTTTATTCGTTAATATTAAATATAAAAATTGGAACAATTGAATTATAATAATCACAATGTCCTCACTGATTCTGATAGTTGTCTCGCAAACAACACGAGTACAGCGTAAATCAAAAGTCAATATTATTACTATTTGTTATTTACATATCTTGGACTATAAGACTTAACTTCTTGTAAATTGTTCCACCGAATCTAATAAATCCATTTGTTATATTACCTTACATTTATAATTATTAATAACATTCTAAAACATAGAAAAAATCTAGTTATTTTTTAGTTTATTTGACATTAATGTTTAAGGAAAACATAATTTCCCTTAGAAACATATTATAATTTATAAGCCGAGTTTAATATGTTTTTGCCGAATCACTCATATTTAGAGTCAAGGTTATTTTGATATATGTAATATAGTAGGAGTTGATATAAACAAAAATAATTGATGTTTATTACTAGTACTTTATTATATGCAAATAAGATTTGATCGGAGGCGATAAGTCAAGGAAATATCTAAAATTAATTATAACCAAAGAATAATTTGTCATTAAGAAAATTCAAGAAAAGATTATCATTTATGTTTGAAATTGTACATATTAGCTAGACACGGACAGATCATATACATTTACTACTTAAAAATGGGGATTCCCTTGTATTCCTCGACCTCACTACATTTTCATTCTTGAATTGAAAATTAACATTTATATTATACTAGCTGTTCCCGTGCGACTTCGTCCGCATAAAATTATAAAAATTTCATTTTATTGTTTACATTTGTAAAATTATCAATTGCAAATGTCTAAATGACATGACATGATGTCAAACCGTGGCAACCTTGATTCCTTGATGTTGACAGTAACTTATGGTCTCTTTCACACATTAGGGTTTTTATCCAAAATATTTACCCCTAAGTTTAATGGCGTGAAAATATGTAGCCTAAAGCGCAATGTAAGTATAGAGCTTTTTATTAACAAAAGAGTTATTCAAAAATATGCTGTAATTGCTGACATTTTAGGCATCAAAGAAGTGTGTGTTTACGCTTTATTCTAATAGCATAGATTACCACCATATTCAGCGTTATGATTATAAAAATGTCACAATCTATTGGAAATCAGAAGCCACGAGTTGTATTACACTTAAATCAACATTATTGCAATAGACCACGCACTTTGAAAGGCTTGAACGTAAAACATGTTTTGTAAGAGTGGTGGAAACATTACTATCAAATGACCCTTTAAAATTATCAATATTACGGTTAAAATTAATTTGAGGGCTGAGATACATAATAAGCAATAAATACAGAATAAAACATATCCTTAAAATTTGTCAGCGATAGTTTAATCATATTCAATATTTTACTGTAATATAATAAATGTGAATATTTGGATGGATGGATATTACAAAGTATTTCTAAAACGCCTAAACGAATTTAGATGAAATTTGGTACTGAAGTCTACAAGAAAAGACAGGTCACTTACTAATTTTTTTCATAATTACGCATAAACGAAGTCGCGGAGTAATCTATATCTTATAGATGTAATATGTAAAGAACATGTATGTTAGTATTGTGTACTTGTACTTTAACGTGATGTATTGGGTCAGCGGCCTTAAAGCTCCAACGGAAGGGACGAGCGGCCAGAGGGCCGGCGGGTAGGTTAACTACTCTATTGATGCCAATCATGTCAATATTTTTTCATATACACCATAATATTAATGTTTCTGATCAACCATTGTCATTTTTTTTGAATTGCATAACGATAGTGATTAATTTATTTAGCTTCATTAAAAACAAGTATTGTTATGAAAAAATATTTAAAACATCCGACGATCCGTTCAAAAGAAGTGACTGATCTTTTTAAAAGATGAATATAGTGAGCTATTGCTATGTATAAAGTAGGTGATTTTTAGTACAATTAAAGGCATAATGTTACTTGTTAAATGTAAGCCGAATAGTCCATGCCGCGAGCGTCTCGTAGCAGATTAGATTACAGAAACTAAACAGATGAACACGCGCTCTGCAGTTACATTCTCTAACAATGAATTGTACCAGCAACTCAACAATACATTTTAAACTAACTGTACATATGTATATTTACAAATAAAAGTAAATGTAATATGAAATGACAAACTTGTTGGTCCAAAATCCACTTAACTGTATTCGATTGTGTTTTATAGTGAGATACATATTTACAAAACGGCTAGCCTTATTATTATTTTAAAAGGGCTTTTAGTGTTATAATGATAGAAGAGATTGCATTGACATTGGAACGAGCGCCCGAGGCGAACGGAACCTGTCGCAAAACGCCAACGTGCACTCACGATACATAAACCTACCAATGTACTACTTTTACGTCCGACTATACCTCTTAAAACTTTAGAACCTTAACACTTTACAGTGTTAAGTACTGGAAAAGAGATAAAAAATATACCCCATAAAATTAACTTGTTTAAACAAAGGAAAGTTTTTGTAATTCGTATTTTATTTTACATACAAATTCAGTTATGTTATACTTCTTTTAGCGTTATATAAAAGCTATAATCGAAGGTACTTTCAATTCAATTGAACACATTATCTTTTTTAATAAAAAGTATTTTTAAACTGCTTTCACACGTTTCATGTTATCACAACTCAATTCTGTCTAAATTCAAAACTTTTATAATAACAAGTTGCAATATTTGTATTTGTTTTCTAATACAATGGAGTCAATTCAGACTGGCTTTTTTGTTTAGTAATAAAAAGAACATCAACGTCTTCTTCGAATTTAGTAATATTTTTCAAAAGTTTGACAACACATTTTCTAATTAGTTAAATGAAACATAATGTGATTGTAATAGAAAGGATCTAATTTTATAGCACATTTACGTGTTAAAACATCCCAATATACCTCAGATTGTGCAGCAATTAACGTCTAAAAAGGCCTCGTAAGCCGAAGCCGATATAACTTCAAAGAGTAAGCGTGAAAGCCGTGTCGCGTTCACGCTGCGCTCGCCACCATTCACGTCAATTTACATCTACGTTAATAAACTTAATTATAAATAACGGCTACCGCTGTTAAAATAACACATTAAATAGATTTTAAAATGTTCATTATTTCGTATTGGATAGTGGTAGAAACACTAAGTTAAAATCATTTTAACAATATATTTGCTACAAATACGGGCGGCACATCAGTCAATTGCTCGATCAATAGATGTTTTCACATCAACTAATGAGATTTTGTTCTTGTATGTTAGTCCATGTGAACGAAGTGAACAGAATGAGATGTTCCCGCGTCCTCTCCCACGGTTCCCGTCTTTGAGTCGATCGCGCGGACACAACAAAAGCTATACATTACCCGCCGACTTTTTCTTAGCCATTGTTTTGTTCACTGCTGATACCTGGAAGTTAAAATTGTATTTTTCTTATCTTTTATGGAATCAAGATTCAAGATGTATTCCGTGTTGCTTATACTACGAGATTGTAATTTTCTTGTGGTAATAAAATTAATTTATCTACAAGTCTATTTTATAGTAAGCGTACTGTTTCGACTTAGATATATTTTATTGAAACTTCGGTAGACTGTGGTTAAAACAAAGGTTTTAAGAATTCGAATATTTGACGTTATTTTCTTATTAGCATCGCATATGAATATCAGAATAATTTTACGTACCATTTTTGTCTTTATCTGCCGTAATTGTAGTTTTAAAAGCGCCTCCACGCTGTTTGTTTTTTCTAAACGCATTGTTCGTAACGTAAACACAAGTATCTTTGAATAGTTGGAGCGTTGTTTCCTTGTATAATCTACGTGCTCAAGTTAACATATTTAAATAAATACAAGATTAACCATGTACAATACAAGCGCAGTAATAAAGTGGCAATGAGTATAGGAGATGAAAACATTTTCACTGGGAACTGTGCCATACGAGTACGCTAAAGTTGACAACCGACCGAGTTCACCTTATTTATTGCCCTTTTAAAAAGCGACGGCCCTTCTGTCTTACATTTTTATCGGCGTCTGAAATAATTCCGTAATTGATTTATACGAGCAAAGAATACGGACGTCGCTCTTACACTCAAATGTAATATGTAGCAATTTAGTTATATGTTCTGCATAAAAGTAGATTTTTTTTTCTTTATTTGTAAGATTGCCAACGAATAGACCCACATTATAAACGTGTTTGTCTACGTTTGCGTTAATTTTGAATATTGCGTTTAAATCGTCGTAAAATTAAAATAATGCTTTTGTTTTTTTCTGTAATATTTAATTTAGTTTACTGGTCTGATCATCGTTTGAATACGCGGTCTTAAGAAGTATCAATGGATTTTTTGTTACATCTAGAATGATCTACCGTTCTCGATTACAAGAATGAATGAACAGACAGGCGATGCGAATGAATGTGTCGTTTTAATTAGAACCATTTCACGCACAATAGTCTCGAAACTAGCACTGCGGTCCAGTTTGATTTTAATTGCGGACTCAT